CAGGAATGCATTTTAGCTGCGGCCTTTTGCTAAAGGAAAATACAGAACAGAGAAAGACGAAGAATTAAAATGATTATGAGCTGTTAGGAACAAAGCTTTTAGTATATAAATGAATTCCCATTCTTCCGTCTCCTTTTGTGGACAGTACTGACTTTTAATAAAAGCAGCAAGAAAAAAAAATATGGTAAGTCTCCTGAATTGTTCTAAATACTGTAAACATTTTACAGACTGTCACATTTCTGAAACTAGTGAAATAATGTTAATGAGACTTGCAGATAAAAGTATAAATTTTGTGTATGTGGCACATCTGTTTTGTTCTGCCTGTGGAACATTTTGCAGCAGTGTGTGCAGAATGATTGCTTTTTCTGCCTTTATTTTACAGGTTTAAATGGTGTTACAGGGAGCATTTGGGACTTTGTAACTGGGAGTTTCTCTCCTAGCCCATCCCCAGTACTAAGCAGTGGCACTACCCCCTCAATAAGTTCAAACACCAGTGGGAACGAACTAACTCAAGTTAGACAGGAACTTGATGATGCCAAGAGAAAACTAAAACAATGGGAAGAATCTTGGCAACAAGTAAAACAGGTATGCTAATTTATGGTAGTATTGATTTATTTTTTTTTTAACAAACAAGCAGCTCCTACTGTTTTTCTTTTTTACATGTCTTCTTATCATTGGACCCAGAGTTTTATTACAGTCTGTCAAAGGAATGTTTTTTCCATCCTCAAAATGAGCTAGGAGCATAAAGGAAACTGAGCTTTTTAAAGGGCAGCTCATTTTCTGAAAGTTGAGCTGCCTCTCTAGACAGGGAAACTTACACATACTCAGGATGGGGGCTGAACAGCAACCTATCTTGATGTTTAAGTAACTGAAGACATACATTCCTGCCTGTACCTCTTTCAGATGATAAGCACAGAAAAACAGTAGAGGCTTGCCAGCAGCTGTGGTTGTTTAGTGTACCTGGACAGTATCTGCCCACCTCAGCAGTCAAACAGGTTGTTGATAACTGCCAGTTTTAGTGCATTTTCTGTAGTCTTTTCCTTCCCCTTGTGTTGTTCTCTCTGTGACGAGGAGTAGCTAAGTAGCTGTACTAGTTTTTGATGTCTCTTGACATTAAGTTATGAATTTAACATTTAAAATATGTTTCATTTATAGAGCTCCAAAAAGTCTTCTGGCTATTTACAGACAAGTAACAGTGACATACCTAGAAATTACATTAAGACAAAACAAGTTGTTAATTAGAAGGTAGGATAAGTAGGGAGAAGTGTTAAATTGACAGTAAGTGCATTGTTATGTCTAAAATTAGAGATTACCTCCATCTTTGAATGTTTTTGAATTTGCTCTTCTGTTTTAATTTTAAAAAATTATTTTTTTATATTCTGGAAATCTCTTTCTCCCAGGCATGTGATGCATGGCAGAAGGAGGCTCAAGAAGCAAAAGAACGTGCTAACATCGCAGATGCGGACAAACAACTTGCTCTTCAGAAGAAAGAGGAAGTGGAAAATAAGTTAAAAAAGCTGAAGGCACAATTAGCTGCTTGTTTATCTACTACATTACCTTATATGAAAAACTATGGAGATATAGAAAAGATATCCTTGCCAAAGCTTCGTTCCTTACAAAATCGGCTGCACTTAGATTTAGAAACAATAGATGAGGTGAGTTTCTTCATCTGCATAACTATTTTTAATTAACTGAAACTGGCAGCTTAGTAAACTTCAATGACATATTTATGCTAGGTTTAATTTCAAAGTGCACCGTTGCTCTCAGTGGTAAGTCTTTCTTTTCTGGAATAGATTTCTCAACCTAATTGGATTCTTCTAAGTTTTTAATCAGCTATCAGAACAAGTTACAAGTGATTCACAAGAATTCTTCAGGGAATTAAAGAAAAGATTTAAAGCCAGCTTTTACCCCCAACGTTTTGGGCGCTACCTAAATAAATAAAAATAGTTGCCCTAAATAAATGAAACTAGTTATATGCTTTTCACTTGTTTCGAAGGTAGGTGGTGAGGTTCCCTGGTAGGAGTTTGTGTAGTGAGAGAGGCCAGTACAGACATGTGGAGCGTAGAATCATTGACATTAGAAGGGATCTCTGGAGATCATCCAGTCCAACCCCCTTCTCAAAGCAAGGTCAACTTGAGCAGGTTGCTCAGGGCCTTGTCTGGTAGTGTTTTGAGTATCTCCAAAGGTGTAGAGTCCACCACCTCTGTGGGAAACCTTTTCTAGTGTTCGACCATCCTCACAGTAAGAAAAGTTTTTTCTTATGTCTATGTGGAATTTTCTGTATTCTAATTCGTACCCTTTGCCTCTTCTTTCACTGGATACCACCAAGAAGAGTCTGTCCCTATCTGTTCTACTCCCTCCCATCAGGTATTTACACACACCAGTAAGATGCCGTCTCTTCTCAAGGCTAAACAATCCCAGGTCTTTCAGCCTCTCCTTATATGTCAGATGATGTCCCTTAATCAACTTAGTGGCATATTCCTGTATTTCACCTTCTCTCAAATCCAGACTCGGTTTCTGCCAAAACTTAGGATGCTCTTTTGCTGCCAGATTGAGGGCATTTCTCGGGGCTTTCAAAGCTGGGAATATCAGGTGCCACTCCTCTGAGCACTTCAAGGAAGATAATAATGACCATGCATTGCTCCAGGCACCACAAGCCAAACCTTGCTGGGCACAGCTTGGTTTCACATTGCTTCTCCCCTGCAGTCTCAAAGGGCAGTGACACTACATATGACTGACACCCATTCTTGCTGTTTTGTTGTGCTCTTATGGGACTGTACAGACACAAAAAAAGATTTCGTTTCACTACTGGGACAGTCTGCTGTACTCTGCTGTTTGAGTTCAGTAGTGGCTTCTCTGTCTCAGTGCACCTCCTGTCCAGTGCCATCTGTATCAGTATGAACTACAGTCTTGGGGAAAAAAAGCCAGGCTCTCTTCAGAAGAGTTTAAAACATAATTTACGTCTTTGTCAATAAAGCAGGTGGATGAGGACAAGACTTGCTAGTTACCAGGCTTCTGTACATTTACAGGATTCTGGATTGGATTAGGGACCACTATTGTTTTTCTTCTAACGGATTTTAAAGAGGAGCAAAAGAGTCTTGGGATCTCTTACCAAAAAAGTCTTTACATCCTGAATGGAAGTAATTTCGGCCAGGCTGGAGTGATCGGAACCATTACCACCATTTCTAGTTCCTCAGTTTCTCAGGTTTCCTTTACTCCCCTGGCCTCTTCTCATCTACCTCTTCCTTCTAGAAGGGGTCTTAGGCAGTGCCACACATAGTGTTCTGGGTTCTTCTCTTACTCTGAACCGTGTCTTGCTCTTCAAAAATTAACACAGCTTTTAGATGCTGTTCAGTTCTTCTTGTTCCTTAATAGGGTTGATACGGTTTATCGCATGGAGACATTTATTTGCAGTTGTAACATCCTCCCTGAAGTCTGTATCAGTAGCTTTGTTCAAAGTATTGCACATTTGGGATTCTTCCATTTTGTCCTAATGTGAACATCTTCCACGGCATGAGAAAATATAACAGTGGTTTGCAATGGCAAAATGAAGAAGTGTATGTCAATGAAAAAGGTTTATTTCCTCTTTTTTTTTGTTTTGCTTGTTTGCATCACTTATCCCAATTATGCAGGAAAATTTCAGTCCAGAGGTTCAGTCCTAGATGTTTTCCTTTCTAAAAGCACCTATACTCCTCCAGCTGCTACTTTAGAGGTTGTGCGTGCTCTGATCTTACGGTCCTCTGTTCCACTGTATGTCCTGGTTTCAGCTGGGATAGAGTTAATTTTCTTCCTAGTAGCTGCTGTGTTTTGGATTTAGCATAAGAATAATGTTGATAACACACCTAGATTCAGTTTTTCCTAAGTAATGTTTACATTAGTGAAGGACTTTTTCAGCTTTCCATAGAAGCTGAGAGGGAGCACAGACGGACAAGCTGGCCAAAGGAATATTCCATACCATAGACATCACGCTCAGTATATAAACACTTGGCCAGGGGGATGGGAATCCACGATCGCTGTTCAGGATGGGCTGGGCAACCCATCATCGGGTTGTGAGCAATTGTATTGCATCACAGTTTTGTATATTCTTTTATTATTATTATTATTATGCCTTCCCTTACTGTTCTATTAAACTGTCTTTATCTCAACCTATGAGTTTTTTCTCTTTTTTCTCACTCTTCTCCCTACCCTGCTGGGGGGGGGGGGAGGGGGGGGGGGGGGGGTAGGGAGTGAGTGGACGGCTGCATGGTCATAGTTGCCGTCTGCCTAGTTAAACCACGACGCTGTCGTAAAAAACATTGTCCTTTGTGTTGTTAAATTAGAAGTTTATTTGGAACAGCTAAGCATAAAGCTGCTAGAACGCAACTGTATACTTTGGAATAGTTTTTACTGAGTTCAATAATCTTTTTACAGGTGATTTTTCAGCTTCAGTCAAAGAAGTGTATCGTATGTCAGGAAGGTGATCGTAGCATTGTCCTGACTCCATGTCAACATTATGTACTGTGTGATCACTGTGCAGCTGCACAAGAAGAATGTCCCTGCTGCAAGAAAAAAAATAATCTGTGGTAACATACAGGCATAGTACTCATATCATGTTCATGAACTAAATAATTTTATGGGTTTGTATTTTGTATAAGAATTATATCACTCATACTTAATCCATTTAATAGTGCTAGACTGATTTCCATTTTGATGTGAGAAACTTGGTTGCTTTAAGATAGAGAAGAAGGCTTGCCCACCTTCAGTCATGTGATGAGGTTCTGTAGGCTTGAGGTTCTGTCATTCCCCCCCAATCCCATCGCAGCCTTTTCCGACTTCCACTTACATTCCAAGTGCACAAGCTACTTAGGTTCATTTGCACTGTAATCACTTTGTATAAATCTTACCATAATGCCTGAATGAAGTGTTTATACCTGTTATTTTCATTAACAGAAGATGGATATGTAGATGCAGTAACTACACACTCAACAGTACAAATGGTCCCTTGGCCATGTCTGGGGTGTGTGTGGAACGCCAGAGCCAGTATTTTGGAATCGGTCTAACACTATGTTTACTTGGATGTTTGAAAAACTCTGATTAATATAAAAGCACTTTTTAATTATTGTGTTTTGTTAGAAGATATGTTGTAAATTGCTTCAAGCTGCTTTCTAGGTCTTATGTTTATTTTTTAATATGCAATAATATGACGTGTTATATGTGTACTGTGAATTTAAAATATTTCACATGGTTTTACTGTTAAATCACAATATGATTAAATAGAAATGACAACTTACCTAGGTTTTTTACAATTTATAAGTTAACTGCATACTGTAGTATTTATAAATGTACCAGCAGAGACAAAAACAGTGAGGCATATATGCTTTCATATTCAAAGACATGTTTTCAATTTTGTGAAACAGATCAGTTTTAGTAAACAGATGTGCGTTTGTGTATTTCCCTCAGTTTGGATGTTTGTAGTCTTAAAGTTTTTGTACATCTCCTAACCTGTGTGGTACTCATCGGGAACAGATATGATATATATATAGTATTACCAAGTGCCTATGCCCAGTATCCTATAAAATGGCAGAAGACATAAAAAAAGAATTTTGCAAATAATTTCTATTGCTTAATTTTGTATTGAACAATTTGACAATAACTAGAATACACCTCTTGCTTTTATAAATATTTAAAAATACACTTTTTTTCAGTAATGAAGTAATGCATGTTTGAAAAGAGCTACAAAATTATTTAAGAATGAAATCAGGCAGTGGCACTTTGACACAGTGATTCTTTTCAAAGGTGGTAATATCGTTCCTTCATCCTGATAGTTGGGAACATGCAATTCAGGAGAAGTTAATTAATTACTGCATGTTAACACTGTGTATTTTTACTTTTCTTACATGGAATAATTGCCTGCATTACTCCTTTTTCTGTTTAAGTCAGGTGTGACACTAGTACAACTTAGATTGAAATGACCTACTACTGTGTTACATGATTTGTATCTCCGTATTACTGTATTCAGTACAAAAAGTGAGTTCACACAGGCAGCAAAGAGTTAAATCTATTTAAAGTTCAGTCATGCTAAAACAAAACCCAAGATACATGCTAAAATTATTGTCAAAATAGAACCGTGTCAGCATTAAATAAAGGGCCCAAGCCAATAGTACTGAAATCACTATCTCCTTTGGGTTTTAGCGTGCTTTGTACAAAGGCTTGAGTTAGCAAAAATATCATTACGCATTTTCTGTGAGAACTAAATGTACAGACTTGTTGCTGCTTTCCTAAGACATGTCCGTCTGCAGGAACGTTGGAGAACTTTTGGGAAGGGAGAACTAGGATAAAGTATTAAATACACTGCTACTTGCTTCTGTTTCAAAATTTTGTCTGGACGTCACTTTAGAGACCAAAGTTGGGTTTAATAATGTGATTTTGTTGACTTTAACACAGTTTGTCTAAAACATTTTTACTGAGAAAAGTATAAAATGGGACTGAATTTGCATTTTCAAACACACTTTTCTGTCCTAAAATAAGATACTGCCATTTTAAAGGTGTAGCCAGCTTTGGACTTTTAAAAAAAGGCACCAAGTTTGGCTGTAGGTATTAATGTATTTTTTGCATCTGTGCAGTCTACAACAAAGACTGATTTTTTTGAACGTTAACAGCATTTTGGACTAAAGCAAACTTAGTTATGTAAGGGTTTGTTGTTTTTTAAAGAATGAGCAAATCAAAGAATAATGTGTAATTATAGTTTGAACTGATGTTACATCTTTTTCAAACAAGCAGTTATTTTGGACACAGGTTTACTAATATTTATCTAGTGTGGAACAGCATTCTGCAACCGTTGTGCTCACAGAAATGTTTAGAAATATCTTAGTGAAAATTTTTGCTTTGGTATTTTAGAAGAAACCAGCGTAGACCACATTTAGCTGCCCATATGCAGCAATGTGACATTTGTTGCCCACGAGATATGGAAGCGTGGTTTTGTGCTGTCTTGTCAAAGTTTATAGTTCTTCATGTGTATTTTAGTGCATTTGCCTATGTCCTAGGGCTAATTTTTGGTCCCTTTTTTTGGTAGTAACAGGTCATTTTCCTGATCTCGCGACACCAACAAAAAAGGAATGTAAACAGCACTTGCAGTGTGAATCGTCACATTGACATTCATAGTTTATATGTGCTGCATTTTTAGAGGAAATAAACTAATATGTTTAGTCTGTTGCTTTTTAAAGTTGTATGTTTTGTGTTTTACAGTGATGAATCTTGAAAACAATGATGGATGTCCTATAGTAATATCAGTACTACAACTTTAGCAGGTGTTCCCTGTAAGTTTCTCTGGTGCTGAATTACAGACACATTTAAAAACTATCAACAAATTGTCTTGTGGAGAAGGAAAAAATGCATACCAAAGAAACATACCTATGTGTGAAATTCTCACACTGGACAACTTGCTATAATTACAGATGAATCCTTAGGTAATCACTTGAACCATATATTATCATACACAGCAGTCATATGAAAATAATACAGTTGTTCTTCACAAACTTCTTTTTGTGAGGAATTACAAGCCAAGTTTTCTGTATCTTATTAATGCAAGTCAACGGCAATACAATTGAATATGTACTTTTACACCAGTACTTTAAAATGGAGGATAATCAAATACATGCAGTTGACTTGAGACGACTGTTCAGAAGAAGTCAGAAGTGAAACCTGACCTTTGTAAGTATTTGTCCTTGTACTATAGACACTATCTAGAAACTGGGTACGTTAAAATTATATTTACAAGACTACAGTACGGTGATTTGCTGAAGTCACAAAATACATAAAAACAAACTAAATAGATTTTCAAGATTCATTTTGGTATTTGACAAAGTTCTGTGTTAATTTATGTAAGAATATAATTTTTAATGTGAATGCCATTATGTTGTCACAATTATTTTAGCCTGGGGAATAATAGATTAAAATTGTGATTTCTCAGGGTTTTTACAGTTAGGAGCTGTAATTTAACCGGAAGTATGCTAATTACAGATAGATCCCAAGCTGCATGTTATAGGCTTATTATTAGTCTTCTTTGAATAGCAGATTATTGAAGACATACTTGTTTTGTTCTATATTGCCATTCAGAGTATCCTAGTATTAAATATAGGTAGTAATATTATTACTGTCACACTATGCTTGTGTAACTGTGGTCATCATCAGACCCTAAATAAATACGGAATTTTTACTCATCTTAATTTATGGGAGCCGTTAATGTTTTGAGTGTACAGACAGAAATGATTTTGTGAATGAAATTGTTCTTGATACAAAACATATTATTTATAATGCATACTCATTTACTTGTAGTGAACTGTTTAAAATTGTTAACACTTGTTAAAACTTTTCTACACTATAGCGTTTATGCAATGGTTTACAGAAGTCATGGAATTATTTTTATTACCAACATGGAAATAAAATTTTGATCTTTATTTCTGACCTATACTGTGTTTAGAGACTCAAAAATTTACAGATACATTTTCCTCTGCAATCTAATTATGGCAATCCTACTAATTTCAGGGTTTCAACCACTGGGATTGGCACTTACTGTTTCAGCAGAGAAAGAGGTCTAACTATGATAGAAAGAAACAGATTCAGCAGAACGATCTACAAGACAGAGGCTGTGAAAGTAATTAAACCTTAATCACTTTTCCTATCCATTCTTCTCTGTAGCGCATGTCCTAAGAACATACAAAGCATCCTACTGGGTGGGAGATGTCATCATAAGTCTATACCAGTATTCTGTCCCTAACAGCGGCAACAGGTGATGCCATTTAGGAGGAGCATGTAAGTCTCACATCTTTCTGCAGTCCCAGATAGTTATCTATCCAGTGTTAAGGATGTTAGAAACTGCAGCTGATTTAGGCTCACCTTATACAAGATGGCAGCTTTGTACCTGTCCAACTCAAAACTTTGTCCTTCATAAGATGCAGGGAATGTGACAGCATACAGGACTGGGGATGCGGATTCACAAAGGGTTCCTGGAGCTTCTTGTCCTGTCATCCGTATCATCCCTCCTGGTAATGCCCAGGACTTTTCCAGACCTTTTTTTTTTCCCCAGCAGCCACTGCACATCCAGCAAGGCAAGTAAATTAAAGCCAGTTACTAAAAAGCCTCAGCTAACATGCTGGCCTTGCATGAGAAATTCAATGATGACAAAGATGTAGCAACGTATGCCTTATGGTCAAACTGAAACAGGGTAGGTTTAGACTGGGAACGGTTTTACACTAAAGAGGGGAGATTGAGATGAGATATCAGGCAGAAATTCTTCACTGTAGGGGTGGTGAGACACTGGCACAGGCTGCCCAGAGAAGCTGTGGCTGCCCCATCCCTGGAGGTGTTCAAGGCCAGGTTGGACGGGGCTTGGTGCAACCTGGGCTGGTGGGAGGTGTCCCTGCCCATGGCAGGGGGTTGGAACTCAATGATCTTTAAGGTCCCTTCCAACCTGAACTATTCTGTGGTTCTATGATACGGTTCCATTCTAAAAATATACTGCAAAGTTAAAGTTACCTTTCTGCTGTCCTGCAATAGCCACGGCACTCGGTGCTGATAAAGCTCAATGA